GGAGGGAGCAGAAAGCCTCATCTTTCTCCCGCGGAACAGCTGATAGTTTCGAACTGCTGACCTTGCGGTTAGCAGCCTGATTGGTAACCTCTACACTACCAGAGCTCCTGGGGATTACTGAGTGTTATAATCAGAACTGAACCCGTCCTGAGTCCAGACACTGTGCTGGAGTTTCAGTCTCTCTTTCCCTCTTTGTGTAGAATAAGTCACTGTAGGACTTATCTTTTGAGTATGAACTGGTCACTCAGGTGTTGCTACAGCCCTTTGCAGCTGTGTTTTCTTGCCCTCAACAAAAACCACTGTCTCTACTGTCTGGCTTCTTAGCAGCAAATAAAGCCTTTTTGATGTGAGAAATCATTCAAGGTAGCATTCATTTCATAGGAAAACATCGCCACCATGTGGTATTTTAGTCTCATGGTGTGACTAAAGAGTGTTCTGTAAGGTAACCCCTTTGTATGTTGTCTTTGCTGTTTAGTGCCATCCAGTCAGCTGAGACTCAGCAACCCTGTATTGGGTTTTTTCGAAGGAGCAGCCAATGAGTTTGAGCAGCTGACCTTGAGATTCAAACGGTAGAGTGCTTATCCTACAGCACTACATCAGAACTCCTATGGTTGTTGTTGTTGTTGTTAGGTGTCATCGAGTCGGTACCAACTCATAGCAACCCTATGCACACAGTTCGAAACACTGCCTGATCCTGGGCACGCTTGAGCCCATTGATGCTGTCAGTTTGCCAATCCATCTCTCTGGGGGTCTTCCTCTTCTTCTCTGACTGTCCACCTTACCAAACATGATATCCTTCTCCAGTGACTGGACGCTCCTGACAATATGTCCAAAGTATGAGAGACGAAGTTTGGCCATCCTGTGCTCCAAGGAGCACTCTGTCTGCACTTCTTCTAACACAGATGTGTTGGTTCTTTTGGCAGCCCATGGCATTTTCAATATTCTCCTCCAACACCAAAAGCATCAATTCTTCCACGATCTTCCTTATTCACTGTCCAGCTTTCACATACATATGAGGTTATTGAAAATACTATGGCTTGGGTCAGACGCACCTTAGTCCTCAAGTGGTCTTCAACACTTTAAAAAGGTCTTGTACGATGACGTGGAGAGATGGAGCAATTGGGGACTTTAGACACAGAGAGAGAGAGGGGCTGTGTGCTGACGACCGGGGGCGGGGGAGGGAGGGGCAGGCTTGTAGTGTATATCCTTTGGTTGGTTGATGATGCATGGAGGGGATTGTAACCATGGATGGCAATGAAACGATATACAATAGGATGAATGTAAAACTAATGTTCTCCCATGTAAACTATCACATAATTCACAATAAAACATTTAAAAGAAAAAAAAAATTCCATTCCCCTGAGACCATCCTATTTAAAAACGCAGTCCTTCTTCCTCACCATATTCCCAACCTCCCTCCCCTACTTCCCTTTGTACCTTTCTTTCCTTTGTGCTTGTTGTTTTCAAACATACTGTATAATTTACCTTTGTGTGATTCTTACTGTTTTTTGTCCTCTCTCTCAATCTCTGTTGGAATGTAAACAGCCTCAAACCAAGAATTTTTGTCTTTGCTGTTTGTGCTGTCTGCTGGTGTCCCCAAGAACTTACAACAATGCCTGGCACATAGTAGGCACTGAATGTATACTGAAATGAATGCATGGGGGAAAGAATACATGAATGAATGCAAAAAGAATGTAATAAATATCCATTCTCTTATTCAAAAATAAAAAAATGGTCTTGTGCAGCAGATTTGCCTAATGCAATACGTCATTTGATTTCTTGACTGCTGCTTTCATGAGTTTTGATTGTTGATCTAAGAAGAATGACGTCCTTGACAACTTCAATCTTTTCTCCATTGATAATGTTGTTTATTGATCCAGTGGTGAGGATTTTTGGTTTTTTTTACCTTGAAATGTAATCCATACTGAAGGCTGTGCTCTTTGATCTTCATCAGTAAATGTTCAAAGTCCTCTTCACTTTCAGCAAGCAAGGTTTGTATCATCTGCATATCGCAGGTTGTTATTAAGTCTTCCTCAAATCCTGATGCCATGTTTTTCTTCATATAACCCAGCATCTCAGATTATTTGCTCAGCATACAGGTTGAATAAATATAGTGAAAGTATACAACCCTGTTTGGACTCATAGTGACCCTGTAAAGGGCTTCCAAGAAGCAACTGATGAATTTGAACTGCCGACCTTGCAATTGAAACCAACCTTGCGGTCCAGTGCATTATCCCACAGTGCTACCCCCAGACTTCTATTAGCTATTACTACTATCTTTCATTTCAAACCCCTTTGTATAGAGGCTTCTGTTTCATGCCTCCAAGTCCTCAGAGACCTTGTTTCTGCTCTATCTCCTCTCTCCTTAAGGATCACTCTTTCCAGGTTCTCTGGTGCCCTCAGAATTTAATGGTTTCAAATTACCATTTAAAAAGACAAGAATTGAGAAACTGGGCCTAGGACAAACTCCTTTGGAGGGAGAAGAGCAGAGAAAGAACAAGAAAGGAATGAGCACTGATCCTCTGGCCTTCTTCCCTACAGGGACCTCTGCAGGAACAAGAACTTGGTTGTTCAGAAAGGGCAAGCTGATCCAGAGATGATGGGAATTCTAGATAATGAGATGGCAAAGTGAGGTGGGGCTGAAGAGAAGAGAGATTTGAGAGTTGTTAGGAGTGCTGTACTTGGAAACATTCATGGTCAAAGATGGGGAGCAAGGAGTCAAGAGCATTCCGAGGTTTCTGGATGGACTTAGTGGCCGGACTGAGACAGGGAGAAGAGTATGGAGCTGGAGCAGGAAGCGAAGTGTTATGAGTTCTGTTTTCTGTAAACAGAACTATAATATCTAAAGCCTATACAACACAATGAACTCTTGGACTACAGGACTACACAATGAAGCACTAGACTGCGGAACTCCAAGGTCGGCGGTTTGAACCTACCAGTTGCTCCTTGGAAACCCTGTACAGGTTCACTATGAGTCAGACCTAACTTGACAGTACTTAACAACATTAACAACATACAACACAATAAGGACTTTTGTGGCACTGAAGGATAAGCATTAGGTTGTAAAAGTCTGTGGTTCAAGCCACCAGCTGTTCCTCAGGAAAATGAAGAGGCCATGTGCTCCTATAAAGATTTACAGTCTCAAAACCCTTAATGAGCAGTTCTACTCCATCCTATAGGGTTGCTATGAGTCAGGATCAACTCGATGGCAGTAGGTTTGGTATTTTTGGCTATACCAACCAGTCTTGGTGTGATGCTGTAGGTTAATGCATTAGACTGCAAAGTCTGTTTGAACTGCAAAGTCAGAGGTTCCAGCTTACAAGCCGCTCCTCAGAAACCCTATACAGGGTCACTATGGGTCGGAATCGACTCAACTCAATGGCACTTAACACCATCATCCGGCTATTGTAGAATATTGCATATGATTAGTTAATACTGTCATTGATTACACATGTCATATATAGCAATTGATCATCTTTTCTTCCTCAGCTTTCTGGTAAAGAAGATGAAGATATCATTAGTGAGGAAGAGCCTGAAGAAGAGGAATATGATAATATTGACAACATTCTTGAAGAAGAGTTTCCAAAAGAAGAGGAAGAGATGAGTGAGGAAGATGAAGAACAGGAAACCGATGCCATTGAACGTCTGAGAAATGAACTGGTAGAAAAATTTGAAGCAGATATGAGTAATTTACAAATAATACAGGTTATTGCTTTTCCTTCATTACTTTCCATAATTTTAAAAAGGAACATTTCAGTTTCATCACAATTTTTTTAAAAGTAACATTTCAAAGCAAAACAAAAACAATTTGGTTTATGCCCTAGTTTTGTTTTGTTTTGTTTTTTAGACATTTCAAAACAAATGTATTTTGTTAATATCACTTATAATTATGAAAACGAGTTTGTAAGTTGGTGGCAACTTGGAAGCCACACAAGGCAGAGGTTTGGACTGCCAGCACACAACCACTCAAAAGATTAGAAATATTTGTCCTTTAGAATGAGATAGGAGCACTGGTGGCATAGTGGGTTACGTGTTGGGCTGCCCACCACAAGATCAGAAGTTCGAATCTACCACTGGCTCTGTGGGAGAAAGATGAGGCTTTCTGCACTCAGAAAGATTGACAGCCGCAGAAACCCTATATAGGGTCACTGTGAGTCAGAATCGACTGGACAGCACACAACCACCCACCACTATCAGGAGCCCTGATGGTACAATGGTTAAAGTGCTCAACTGCTGAGAGATTGGTGGTTCAAATCCACCAGCTACTCAAAGGGTGGAAAGACCTGTAAAGATTACAGTCTAGGAAACCCTCTGAGGCAGCTCTGCTCTGCCCTGGAGGGTGACTGTGAGTTGCACTAGCTGTGTCAATGACCTGACTCAACACTATCAGCCTTTTTCTCACTGAATATGTATTACTTCTGTGTTTTCACTGCTCAGGACGAGTTTGAGAAGTTTTGGATACCCATCATAAGCATTAATGGAGCTCGGAAACCTCGCATTGTACAATACATGTTGAATACCAAAGTGAAACCTCTGGTGGAAAACCGGGCCAGCATTTTTGAGAAATGTTACCCGATTACACCACACCTAGCCCAGAAAATGCTCAGCTTTACCTACAAATATCTGAGCTCATTTGGATACTGGGACCCTGTAAAGGTAATGTCAGCAAATGAATCAGAAAGACATGTTTTTCCTATGCTTCTTTTTCTTTTAAGGAAGATATTCTATGAAAAAGGCAGCAGGAAATACCAAAAAAGTGTAAGTCTTTTACAGTATTCATAACTAACTGTTAAATTTTGGTCGCTTTGCCTTTCTAATATGGAAAGGTCATTGAAGGATTTAATTCCTCTCATCTGTTTCTGTAGTGATAACATAATTTCAACTAGGTTTTACCTTATAGTAGTGAAATTATTACTAAATTACCTTACTATCTAATTTTAGGCAAATCAATCAGTCTCTTTGATTCTGCTTCCTTAACTTTACAATGGAAGAACAGTGCCACTAGGTCTTTGTGATCAAATACAAGACTGAGGAAGCTTTCTAAAAGTGTGAAATTAGATATTAACAACTAATTATTAACAATTGACATTCAAAATGGTTTCATTAACAATGAATGCTCCTTACAAACTCATGTCCAAGTACTGCATTGGAAAACAATATGCAGTGTCAAAAAACAGATTTAATCCCATCAGAATTCAATAACTTTAAATGTAAAATGGTTTTCAGTAAATCTTAGCCAGGAAAATATCCATCACCTTTTAGTTTTCAATTCTCCGACTAAAGTATCCCTAGTTCCTGCCACTGTTCTTCATGTAAAATGACTTCAAGTCTCCAAAAATCCTAGTCCTTCTCTCCTTAACTCACTCCAGTTAGTCTGCACCCCTGAAAATGAGGCTAGAAGTGAGCACAATTTTCTCTAGATGGTCTTAGATCCTCACAGTAGAGCAGATGCTACCATGAATTTTATTGTAAATACTGTAATTTTTAATGTAGCCTAGGACAGTGCATTGGAGCTCTGGTAGCATAGTGGGTTTGCAGTTCTAATCTGACACAATGGCATTCAGACCTACAGAGGAGCAAGGCTGCATGCTAGATTATTTAGACAACAGCAGAAACTACTGAAAGATTCCTATTTAACTAGGAAATTTGTAATGGAATCACTGAACTTTCAGGTTTTCTTTTATTACCAAGTGTATAGCAGACAACTATCACTCCCAAATGCCTGAATTTCTACTTCTCATTCTACTTAACCGTCAATCCAGCCATGAACTTTGCTCCTTCCCAAGGATGATGATATTGACAATGCCACTGACCAGTGACAACTGTCCTGATGTAGCTCGAGGAAAAAACTAAAGTAAACTAGTTGCCGACCAGTTGATTTTAACTCATAGTAGCTCTGGGGGCAGTGGGAGGGGGAAGAGAGTACTCCACCATTTCACACCTACTTTGTCAAGTCCAGGGATAGCTGATGCTTGGTCATCCAATGACCAATCAAAGACTTGCTGTTGAATGCCATGAAGCCAATTCCAACTCATAATGAGTGGCTGCCAGTATACCCCCAAAGATCCCCTACCTTAGGAATTTTTGTGGATTGAATTTTTAAATGTGTTGGTATCCTAACCCATATAGGTATGGGTGCAATCTCATTTGGGACTGGGTTTTCTTTCTTATGTTAATGAAGCCATATCAGTGTAAGGTGTCACTATGAGTTCAAATCAACTCTATGGCAATGACTGGATTTTTATAACTATAATAAACAGGTAGTCCTGGCTCAAAGTGACCCTATTGGGTAGGGTAGGTTTTCCAAGGCTGTGGGTTAAGCATTGGCTGCTCACTGAAAGGCAGGTGCTAGAACCCTATGGCTCAATTCTGCCCTAGAGGGTTGCTATAGGGTCAACTGGATAGAAGTGGATTTGGGTTGATTTAATTACAGGGTCACTATGAGTCGGAATTGACTCCATGGCACTTAACAACTACAGCTGTCTTTACAGAAGGAACCCTGGTGGCACATGGGTGGAGTGTTGGGCTGGTTTGAACCTACCAGCTGATCTGCTGGAGAAAGATGGACAGTCTGCTCCCCTAAAGAACCTTATGGAGCAGTTTTACTATATCCTATAGAGTCACGATGAGTCAGTGGGTTTGGTTTGGTTTTTCAATGTTTCTCTCAAGGAGCAGCCAGTGGGTTCAAACTCTTGATTTTTCAGTTAGAAGCAAAGTGCTTAACCACTGCATTGCCGGGGTTAAGTGCACCAATTAATTGATTGCGTGTAGATATAAAGTAATTTGAACTTTTTACAGATATTTAATATTAATATTTTATTGTAATTATTTTCCTTATTCTGTAAGAAAGATTTTTTTCATTTACAATTTTTTAATGCTATATAAATTAACATTAACTTACAAATTCAACTGTGTATATATTGCAGCTAAGTGAAGGTGAGACAATCAAGCCAGTTGAAACTCCAGAAAATCCAAGTTATCCTGTAATCCATCGTCAGTATATTTACTTTTTATCTAATAAGGAAAGCAAAGAAAAATTCATGAAGAACCCAATCAAATATATCCGCCAGCCAAAACCGAAGCCGACAATGCCCATTAGAATTGCAATTGTGGGGCCTCCAAAATCTGGGAAGACTACAGGTGAGGGTGTGTTTGTCTTTGTTTTCCTCACTATGCTTGTAAGTACTTATAATAATGAAAACTCTTGCCAGTTCTCCAGGAAATCAACTCTCAAAATTGTTTCAAAAAAAAAAGCAGAAAATTTAAATATATTGACAAGGTATTTTAAAAGTATTACTCCACTCCTAAATATTCCAGAACCAAATTATTTTTAAAGGAAACTTATATCAAACTCTCAAAGAATTAAAAATTCAAAGAAGAGATCATTTCTGTGCTTTTGTAAGCTTTTCCGAGCAGTGAAAAACACAGTGAACTTCCCAATTTATTTTTAGTTTATTTTTTTATTAAGACAATATAGCCCCTGTAATCAAAAAGGTATAAGAGAATACAAGTTCACTTTTAAATTAGCATAGCCCTGATATCTAAATCTAGTGAAGGTAGTACAAGAAATTAAAGCTCAATGTCACTTGCAAATATAGAATCAGGAGTCCTGGTGTGGTGCTGCCAGGATAGTGTGCTGGACTGCAAGGTCAGTTTGAACCATGAGGTCAGTGGTTCAAACCCACCAGCCACTCCTCGGAAACCCTGTACAGGGTCTCTATGGGTAGGAACCAACTTGACAGCACTTAACAACAACAACATCTAAATAAAATATTAGAAAATTGATTAATATATTACAATATCTTTGCATTTATTTGTGTTGAAAGAATTAATATAACCAATTAATAGATTAAAGGATAAAAGCAATTCTTGATCATTGCTGGAAAAGACAGTTGATAAACAATATTCCTGTAATGTTTGAATTTTTATAACTTTAGATAGCTTTTTTTTTTTAAGTAAATAGTCTAATAATAACTTGGTCATAGTTTTTCAAGCTGGTACTAGAACAGCATGAACAGTGTTTGGTCTAGCAATGAAAATTCTAGAGAAAGGACATATATGCAAGAGATTTCAAAGGAAAAACTACGATTCAATAACTGAATAGAAAATGAAGAGGAAAGGTAATGTCAAAGATTAACTTGTCATCAGAAATAATAAGGGGAGTTTTGTGTTCCAGCTCTTGAGCTGAAAAGATGAAAAGTTTATTTTATCCATTTAAAATATCTAACATGACGAAAGGCTCTTAAATGGCTGTATTCTAAATGTTCACAAAGATAGTCATATTTTCCAAGGAGAACGGAACATTGACATTGAAAATAAAATCTCACATCCAGAGCAAAAGGTGAAAATCGAGGCAAGGCACTCTGATTTCTCATTGTAGAAATAAGAGTTTTTTGGGTGCTTTTTTTTTTTTTAAATAAAATGTCACATTTTAAAAGCTTAATTATTTTTAGAACTTTAAAAATATAAGTCTGATCCCGGAATGGAGGCAAAGCTGAGATTAAGGGCTCTGTGTCTCTCATAGAAGCTACCCATCTGGGTGCCTCTGACTGTGGCCTCCATAGGACAAGTTGACCTCTCCTTCATGTATCCACCCACTGCCATCTGCATGCAGCTCTCAGAAACCACGCACTACACAGCATAGTCACATTTAATCATCTAGATGACGTTGCAGTGGGTCTCACTCAGGAAAAACAGAAACCAATAGTACTCCTGTTTCAGCCAATGGCACTGCCTTCATTATCTATGCTGTTACAGCAAAAATATAACAAGGGGATGGTTTGATGACTTTAATAAGCAGTCATTTATTTTCTTACAATTTAGGAGGCTTGTTGCTGTTGTTACATGCATTCAAGTCAATTATAACTTGTAGTAGCTCTATGAGCAACAGAACAATCCTCACTATTGTTGTTTGAGCCCATGGTTGCTGCCACTATGTTGATCCATTTCCTTGGAGGTCTTACTCATCTTCACTGACACTCCAGTTTACCAAGCTTAATGTCCTTCTCCAGGGACTGGTCTCTCCTGACCATGTGTCCAAAGTAGGAGAGGCGAAGTTTAGCCATCCTAACTTCTAAGGAGCATTCTGACTGCACTTCTTTCCAAGACCAATTTGTTTGTTCTTATTTACTAATGAAGATGAAGGAACACAGCCTTCGGTATGGATTGCATGTCAATGTCAACAAAACAAAAATCCTCACCACTGGACCAATAAACAACATTCTTATCAATGGAGAAAAGATTGAAGTTGTCAAGGACTTCATTCTTCTTGGATCAACTATCAACATTCGTGGAAGCAGCAGTCAAGAGATCAGACTACGTATTGCATTAGGCAAATCTGCTGCACAGGAGCTTTTTAAAGTGTTGAAGAGCAAAGATATCACCTTGAGGACTAAGGTACGCCTGACCCAAGCCATGGTATTTTCAATAACCTCATATGGATGCTAAAGCTGGACAGTGAATAAGGAAGATTGTAGAAGAATCGATGCCTTTGAATTGTGGTGTTAGGAGAATACTAAAAGTGCCATGGACTGCCAAAAGAACCAATAGATCCGTTTTGGAAGAAGTGCAGCCAGTGTGCTCCTTGCAGGCCAGGATGGCTAAGCTTCGTCTCTCATACTCTGAACATATTGTAGGGAGGGAACAGTCGCTGGAAAAGGATGTCATGCTGGGTAAGATGGAGGGTCAGAGAAAAAGAGGAAGACCCCCAACGAGATGGATCAGTCAGGTGGCATCATTGATGGCATCGAGTGTGGCGGCGGTGGTGAGGTTGGCCCAGGATTGGACATGGTTTTGTTCTGCTGTGAATGGGGTTGCTATGAGTCGGTTCCGACTCGATGGCACCTGACAACAACAACATATCCATGACACTTTCAATATTCTTCTTTTTTAATTAAATGGATCTGTTCTTCTCTGGTCATCCTACTTTCCAACTTCCACATGCATATTGAGGTGGTTGAAAATACCATTACTTGGGTCAGGTGTTCCTTAGTCCTCAAAGTGACATCTTTGCTTTTTAACACTTTAAAGAGGTCTTTTGCAGCAGATTTGCCTAATGCAGTGTGTCATTTGATTTCTTGACTGCTGCTTCCATGATCATTGTTTATGGATCCAAGCAAAATGAAGTTCTTTGATAACTTCAATCTTTTCTTCATTTATCATGATGTTATTTATTGATTTCTTTACACTGACGTGCAATGCATATTAAAGGCTGTGGTCTTTGGTATTCATCAATATTTCATCTTCTTTTCTTCTAGCAAGCACAGTTGTATCATCTGCATATTGCAGGTTTTTAATGAGCTTTCCTCCAATCCTGATGCCAGCATCTTCTTCATATAATCCAGATTCTCAGATTATTGCCTAAGTATACAGATTGAATAAGTATAGTGAAAGAATACAACCCTGTCGCACACCATTCATTCCTGATTTAAGCTATTCAGCATCCCCTTGTTCTGTTCTAGCAACTGCTTCTTGGTCTGTGTGCAGATTCCTCGTGAGCACAATTAAGTACTCTAGAATACCCATTCTTTTGATGTTAACCATAATTTGTCATGATCCACTCAGCCGAAATCCTTTGCATAGTTAACAAAGCACAGGTAAACATTGTTCTGGTATTCTCTGCTTTCAGCCAACATCCACCTGACCTCTCATTAATACTATCCTCTTTTGAATCCTGCTTGAATTTCTGGTTGATGCACTGCTACAACTGGTTTTGTGTTACCGTCAGGAAAATTTTGCTTGCATGTGGTATTGATGATACTGTTTGATGATTTTCACATTCCATTGGGTAATCTTCCGTAGGAATGGGCACAATTGTGGCTCTCTCCCAATTGGCTTGTCAGGTGGCTATCTTCCAAATGTCTTGGTATAGATGCGTGAACTCATCTAGCACTGCCTCAGTGTGCTGAAACGTAAATTTCTAATCCATCAATTCCTGAAGCCTTAGTTTTTCACCAATGACTTCAGCACACTTCTTCCTTCATTATCATCGATTCTTGATCATATGGTACCTCTTGAAATAATTGAACATCAACCAACTCTTTTTGTTACACTGACTCTGTATAGTCTTTCCATGGTGAACAGGTTTTAGCAGAGATTCTAGACTAAGACAGAAAGGAGGAAAGGCCGAGCAATCTACTTCCAAAACTTAGCCACTGAAAACTCTATGGATCACAGTAGAGTACTGTCCAATCCACACTGGCACAACCTACCAAAACCCACAACCACTGAGAAGATTCTGACTCCCAGCAACCCTCTGTACGGTTTCCAAGACTATACATCTTTACAGGAGAAGAAAGCCTCATTTTTCTCCTGTGAAGTGACTGGTGGGTTTGAACTGACCACCTCACTGTTAGCAGTCCAGTGCTTATCCTGAAGCACTACCAGGGCTCCTTGATAGATGGCATAGGATCAGGCAATGTTTTGTTGTATTATACATGGGGTCACCATGAGTCAATACTGGCATTACAGCAGCTAACAACTGTGTAGGTTGTGCTCTCCTGATTGCAGTATCTTGTATGGAAATGGACAACCAGGTACAATCCAATGAAACAGGAATATTACATGGCTATTTTTTGACATAATACCAAATATGAGTAATACAAATAGGATACCTCACAGTAATCTTAGAAATATTGCTATCTTGCACAGAAGAAGACACTTAAATGAAATGTTGGTTTAGTATTGAGGAGAAGCCAGAGCTGGCTTATTAACCACATACCTGAAGTACTAATGACTGACCTTTATCAGCATGATTCAATAAAATGTGGCAAGTTTCATTTATAAAATTTCTTTGAGGAACATGCAATTAGCTTACTGTTGCTGTCATTAACTACAGTCTGAAACTAAGGTTGACAGATGAGTTTGTGAGGTTAACTATTTTCAAAATTTAAATGTTTTTCAGTTGCCAAAAAAATTGCGAGTGAATATGGCTTAAAGCACTTATCAATAGGAGAAGCTCTCCGCTATGTATTAACCAACCAGCCAGAAACAGAACTGGCACTTATGTTAAACTGGCATCTTTATAAAGGACTGACGGCACCCGATGAACTGGCTATTCAAGCCTTAGAAGTCTGTCTAATGGACAGTGTGTGCAATACTGCCGGGTAAGTGAGGAGTCGGGTTGGGAAAGGGAGGGAAGAATTAAATCTGTCAAGAAATTGCATACTATGCAAAATTTGGAAACCATGCCGTTTTGGTAATTTCGTGCCAATATTTTAAAAACCAAGATCGTTTTATGTATGTGCAGGTCAGTTCCATGCCCTTAAGTTATAGAATGTTAAGTTTCTTGCTCTTAAAGGAACTCAGAGACAAACTGTCTAATGGAACTCCATTTTCTCTGGTAGCGTAGTGGTTACAAATCGGGCGGCTAACCTCAAGGTCAGCAGTTCAAAACTACCAACCATTCCACAGGAGAAAGATGAGGCTTTCTGCTCCCATAAAGATTTACAGCCTCGGAAAGCCTGTGTAGGGTCACTATGAGATGGAACTGACTCCACCGTACTTAGCAACAACATAGGTAGAAAACCAAAGCCGGAAAAATGTGTCCTTACACACTTCCACAATTGGTTAGGGAGTGGAAAGGCAAGAAAAGAAAGGGTTAGAGCTCTTTTAGTTACTTGACTGTTAAATGTCTGTCGTCATGACAGACTTATAAGTGCCCAGCATCAGTCCTCTTGGGCAGGGTCTTGCAAGATATCTCCAGCCCAGCTGCTACCTGTGCGCCTGCATAATGGCAGCCCTTTGCCCCACCATACAGTGACCAACTGCTGGCTCCTTTTTGTGGCCTTCTGCTTCAGTATAAATTGCAGCTCAGTGTCAAGAGAATGAAAATCCTCATCACTGGACCAATAGATAACATCATGATAAATGGAGGAAACATTGAAGTTGTCAAAGACTTCATTTTGCTTGAAATCACTATTTCGCTTGGAATCATTCATGGAAGCAGCAGTCAAGAAATCAAACAACATATCGCAATAGACAAATCTGCACAAAACCTCTTTAAAATGTTGATGAGCAAAGGTATCAGTTTGAGGACTAACCTAAGCCATGGTAGTTTCAATAACCTCAACTGCACATGAAAGTTGGACAATGAGTAAGGAAGACCATAGAAGAATTGATGCATTTGAGTTATGGTGTTGGAGAAAAATATTGACGGTACCAAGGACTGTGGAAAGAACAAACAAATCTGTGTTGGAAGAAGTACAACCAGAATGCTCGTTAAAACCCAGGATGTTGAGAATTAGTCTCTCATACTTCTGACACATTATTAGGAAAGACCAGTCGCTGGAGAAGGCCAACACACTTGATGAAGTAGAAGATCAGTGAAAAAGAGGAAGACACCCCCCCCCCCCCATGGATTGAGATGGATTGGCACAATGACAGCAGCAGTGGATTCAATTGTAACAACCATTGTGAGGATGGAGCAGCACCGGGCAGTGTTTCATTCTGTTGTACATGGGTTGCTATGAGTTGGAACTGACTTGAAGGCACCTAAGAACAACAATAACTGTTATGGACATTACCAGGCCTGCCCCAAAATTCCTGTGAACACCTGTCAGGTTCTCCCAAGAGCCTTCTGGTACTCTAGACTGCTAGCAGTAATAAGGGCAGTGAATATACTCATGTCTCTACTCAAGGCTCTCTTAGAACTCCTTCTACTGTCCATTGGAGAAAGGACTCTTTTTCCTTACAAGGAGAAAAAGGGAAACACCACTTCTACGAAGTCCTCTGAAAGAACATTCCTCAAGTGAATCCCAGGCGTTACATATAGGTTGAGCTAGTGACAATCCCTAATCTAGTATGGGGGGGTCTCTCAGTTCTGTGGCAGCACCGTCACTAACTGTCCTCAGCTTTGGGACCTAGGCTATAGGAAAAGTCCTGGTAAATATTTTTTATTGTATTACCAATAACAACCAGTCCTGGTTTGATGCTGTAGGTTAATGCACCAGACTGCATAGCCGTTTGAACTGCAAGGTCAGCGGTTCAAGCTCACCAGCTGCTTCTTGGAAACCCTATACAGGGTTGCTATGGGTTGGAATCGACTCGATGGCACTTAACAACAACAAAACACTTAAGTTGGGGGTATATACCAGGGTGTGTCAAAAATTAACCACACTGGTTTAGAATGTATTTTAATCAGCTTTTAGAAAAGACAAGTACATAATTTTTCAACATAATCTCCTTGCTTTTCAATAACACGTTGTTCATCTGTCAACAAGCTTTCATATTCCCTTATTTAAAAAATGTTTTAGGCTGAGCTTCGAGGCATGACACCGCAATCTGCACTTATTCATCACTGAAGGGCTGCTTTCAGGGGACCAAACAGGTAAAAAGCTCAATGAAGCAAGTTCAGGACTATAAAGAGGATGCTTTAACACCTCAAAATGAAGTTTTGCAATGTGGACAGAAGTGTACAGATGAGCATTGTCGTGCTAGCAGTCCTCTGTGTTTAATCCCAGATTTAGGCTTCAGCTCTTCAGTGAGTACCTCACTGTAACGAACACTGTTGATTGTTGAACCTTTTTCCTGATAATGTTCCAATACTGGCCCTTGAGAATCCTAGAAAATTGTAAGCATCGATTTTCCAGCTTATGGTTAACTTTTGAATTTTTTCTTGGTTGATGATTGAGGATGTTTCCATTCCATACTCTGCCGTTTACTCTCAGACTTGTAGTGATGAATCCATGTCTCGTCACCAGTAATGATTTTTTAAAGAAGCTTTTACCTTCCTACGAGTATCGGTCCCAATTTTGTTTGCAGATGTCCAGACGCTTCTGTTTATGTTCTTCTGTGAGTTGTTCTGGTACCCATCTCACATGAACTTTTTGAAACCCAAATCGTAGTGGATTATTTCATAGGCAGAGGCACAGCTGATTTGCAAATGATTTGTAACATAATCCACTGTCACTCTTCTATTTGACAAAATTATTTCAGGTGCACACTCAGTGTTGTCATCAGCTGTGGACATGGACAGGCATTTTAACATCATCAGAGTGCAGATAATTTTTGACTCATCCTCATATGTGTGTGCGTGTATGAGGAAAACTCAAATGTAGTGCTGTTGATTGTTGTTGTGATGTGCCGTAGAGTCGCTTCCGACTCATAGCGACCCTGTACAGGGTTTCCAAGGCTGTAAATCTTTATGGGAACAGAAAGCCTCATCTTTCTCCCACGAAACAGCTGGTAGTTTCGAACTGCTGACCATGAAGTTTGCAGCCCAATTCGTAACCACTATGCTGCCAGAGATCCTTCAAATGTAGTGCTACTAGGATTTTATCCTCAAAAAACGTGTTTAAATATGTCAGTGTGACTAGTGGATGACTTCAGACAAAGTACTTCAGTAATACACTTTTCTCTGAGTGTTGTTAGGGTCCCTTTGAAAACAAAAGTAAAAACTATGACTTCTCGGGCAATCTACTGGGCCAGTTAAATTCAAGACAGAGAGATCAGCTCAGAAGGTTATCATGACTGATCTTTTTAGGTTTTATTTTTTGTATTCCAAAGGGATCATCATGATAGATTTTCTTGAAGGATATAGAATGATCATGGAGGTTTATTGGGAAGACATTTTAAGAAAATGGAAAACTCGCAAAACAATTGAACACACAAAGAGCCAAAATATAGATAAGCTCACCATTGAAACTAAGAGCAAGTTTGTCATTAAAGGCATGACAGAATGGAAACAAAATAGATGGAAAACAGCCTCTGGAAGAGATGTTGTCAGCAGAAATGATTTTGAGAAGATTGATAGCGCTTCCCAAGGCGTGGCTATTCAGTGGAAGTATGTTCCTGGCCATCGAGGCATCAAAGAAGCTGATAGATTGGCCACACAAAATACTAGAAAATAAGACTGTATTTGCATTATAGGTTGCTACCTTCTCTATTGGAGTTAGATTTGCTGATGACAGCTTTGAAAGTTTTCTTCCCATTTTCTCATGGGCATCTCCTTATAAAACTGGTTTCTCCATTTTATTCTTTACCTTTTTCTACCATTGATAACAACCTCTTTGTTAATTAATAAAAACTTGGACTTTCAAAAAAAAGAAAGAAAGAAAATGGAAAACTGCATTGGTAAGAGAAAGATCAGAAAAATTACACCAAGGAATTTTTTTCCATCAAGGCAACACACTTGCTCATTCTTCAAGTGTAGCAAGAGCTGTCCTACAAGAATTCTGTTGAGACACCTTGCCACATCCACCCTTGAGCCTGGATCATGCCCATTCAGACATCTTTTTGTTTCCCAAACTCAAAGTACATTTCAATGGATCTTAAGGATGCCCAAGGAACTCAGATTGTGCCTTTGACCTTACTGCCATTTTGACGTAATGTAAATTGAAGAGCACAGAATTTTTCAGAGAAGGGTTAGAGAGATGGAACCCCACCTACAGACACGTATAGACTTAAATGGAGGATGTGTCAAGAACCAGTAGATTCACATTTTGATTTTTTTTGTTTGTTTGTTTAGTAATGGCATCTATGATTTTGTAGCAATACTTTTTTTTTTTTTTTAACTTAGCCAGTTCCACTGATGATGGAAAGAAAAGAGTATTTGTGCATGCTACATATTTTGCTGTTGTTGTTTTTAATTAGCTGTCATCACGTTGGTTCTGACTCACTGCAACCCTACACACAACATAAGGAAACCGTGCCAGGTCCTACACCAGCCTTACGTTTGAGCCCATTGTTTTTGCCACTGTGTCAATCCATCTTATTAGGGGGAAGGGCTTCCTCTTTTGGGCTGACCCTCTATTTTGCCAAATAATGATGTCCTTCTCCAGGAACTGGTCCCTCCTGATAACATTCCCAAAGTATGAGAAACATATAGTTCTTTAAATACGTCTTTAATCTTTACCCCGTCCTTTAGTTGGTTTGTTTTTGTTTGGATGACACCCTTGATGACAACCTGACTGAATCTCAATCTCTTACCCCTCAAAATTTTATAGATATTACCTTATTGTCCTCTGGTTTCTAGTGTTCTGGGGCATAATATCTGAAGCTACTTTAATGTGTCTCCTTTAGGAAATGAGCTGGTTTGGGCTTATATGTGTATGTTTATATTTTATTTGAAAATTTAACCAGGTGTGGCTATCTTTTATTTATATGGGGGATGTTGAGAACCTCTTAAATCTGCAACTGCAGGTATAAGTCTTTTTAACGCACGGAAATTCTAGTTCTCTGTATTAAAGGAAGTGGGAGAAAAATGAGGCTTTCTGCTCCAGCAAAGATTTACAGCTTCAGAAACCCCATACAGGGTCACTATGAGTCAGAACCAAGTCAATGGCATGTAAAAACAACAACATATTAGAGAAACACTGATCCATATGCACAGAGACATGAAAAAGGATACTCCTTGAGCCATGGGAAGAGAAGTACCGGCAACTTGCCATTAAATGCAGAATGAATTAACTGCTGTTTATTCTTTACAATGGACAAGTTATCCTTTAGTATAAATGAATGCTGGCTAAAAAAAACTTGTGAACCCATAGACACTGAATGATTGTTGTGGTTGTTGTTGGTAAGTACTGTCAAGTCATTTCCAACTCATAGCAAACCACCGATCTTGTGGTTCAAACCAACCTTGAAGTCCAGTGCTTAGCCTATAACACCATGCCAGGATAATTTTAAAATAAAATGTAAACAGTGTAATCAGCTCTATGCTGTTTATGGAGACATGTATATGTAAAAATAATTATAATACATACTTGGGAATAACATATGCATATGTAATACATGGAGTCCTGGTGTGGTGCTGTGGGCTAATGTGTCAGACTGCAAAGTCGTTTGAACTGCAAGGTTGGTGCTTCAAGCTCACCAGTTGCTCCTTGGGAACCCTATGCAGGGTCGCTATGGGTCGGAATTGATTTGATGGCACTTAACAACAACAGTGTAACATTATCTATCCTTGTGTGGCGCTGTGGGTTAATGCACTAGACTGCGAAGTCAGTTTGAACCACAAGGTTGGCAGTTCAAGCTCACCAGCTGCCCCTCATAAGCCCTATACATGGTCCCTATGCATCGGAACCAACTCAACAGCACTTGACAACAACAACATCAAGTTGGTGGTTACCTCCTGACAGACAACATGCCTCTCCCTTACTGCCACTTTGTTAAGAGACCAACATGCTTGAGCTGTCTCTTCAGTTTTCATTCCTGTGACTAACCATCACTCCCTAGAGCATAGCCAACCCTCACATACACCCCGTCATGAAACCCTCTCTTGTGAAACCTATGGCCTTGGTCTTCAACGCATGACACTAACCTGAGATCCCCTTATGGACTGATTCAAAATATGTTTTATGTAACTCTTTACCCTTCTCTGCCACTGATTTTTGTTTTTTTAATCTTTTAATTGTAAATTGAATGAAGGATCACAGAGCAGATCACCAGTTTTACACTCAACAAATCATCCACTTCATTTCATCTCAGTGATTGCAGTCCCCTCCATGTAGCTTTGCTGATCCCATTTCCTGCCTGTGTCCCTTGTTTCCATTCCTACTTCTTTTCCGGTTGCAAAAAATGAACCAACCTCCCACAGCACACTCTACTCAACTGAGTTAGAAAATTCATTGCAATGGCCACACGGATCTCAGATACCACACTCAAAGTTATGGGATTTATTAGGAAATTAACAGGTTACAATTCAGTGTAGAATATTCTTCCAGTCAGGACAGCCGCTCCTCAGCCATGCCCACCAGCAGGCCTCTCTCTGCCTTGGCAATGTTGGTGGTGGTGGTTATGTGCCGTGGAGTCGATTCTGACTCATATCGACCCTGTGCAGGCTGTACATCTTTACGGGAGCAGAAAGCCTCATCTTTCTACCACGTAACCGCCGGTTGTTTCAAACTGCTGACCTTGAGGTTAGCAGCCTGACTCGTAACCACTACGCAAAGCTCTATTAAGGCTGCTGATAAATGCTCACAGGGCACACTATGCTATCTGCCTCAACTCAAAGGTAATAGACTCTAGCTCAGTGGTCAAAAAACAAAACAAAAAAAACCCCTATGTTTGATGATGCATGAAGGAGATTGTAATCATTGCAATGAAACAAAATGCAATAGGATGAGTGTAGGACTGATGTTCTCCCATGTAAACCTCACAATAAAAACTTAAACACACACATACACAAAACACCTAGCTCCCCCAGTTAAGTGCCTAGAGGTACCCCACTCAGCAAGCAAGCCTCATGCCCAAAATCGCTCAGTTTCACTTGCTCTTTGGGCTGGAAAACCCACTGCTCTGTTTTGTGTTCTGGCTCTTGGTTCTGCTGCTGCTGTTCCTTTGCCATCCCTCCGTTACCTCAGCTTTCTGTCCCTGAATCAAGGAAGCTCATTGTGAGGGGATCTTGCATCCAAAAGACATGCTCCACCCCTAGCTCATCTTTGATGGTAGTGAGATTCCCCATCCATGCCTCTGAGATGGGTCATTTGATATGCATTACAGTTCCAAGTTTTTACCATCACAATTAATCTCTTAACTATTGACAACTGATTCATAGAATCCTATTACTGTGTTTTCCCACTTCTCTCACCCAGACATAGCAGGGAAAAATTGTTTGGTGGAAGTTACAAAGACTATGGGTAGAAAAGTCATAGAAAGTAATTCACTGTAATGCCCCAACATTTTATCCTTAAGTAAATGATGCCTTTTTAAATTTTTGAGAGATTGACTATGGTGTGCATACCTCACTAGTGTTGTTGTCACTCCCGTATACCTATCTATTGCTTGACTGAAAATTGAACCACGAGGGTGAGTTCAGTTCCAGACCTGAAGGGTGACCAAGGATCATAGTGTCGGGGTTCCATCAGTCTCTATCTGACCAGTAAACCTTGTCCTTCTTATTATATTGAGCTTTATTTCACATTGTCCCCCGCTCTATCCAGGACTTTCTAATGAGATCCCATTAAGAGAATTGGCAGTAGTAACTGGGCACCATCTAGTTCTTCGGGTCTCAGGGTCTTGAAAATGGATATTCTCATTAAAGCCTATATTCTTTCCACTGTTTCATGCTTGGAATAATAGCACCAGCTGAATAGCACACTGTTCAAGGCATTATGTGTTTTAGTGCTCAAATTATGCCAAAAACCTAACTCTAAGTGTTGAATTCAGAGCTCGCTCCTATCCCCGCTTTCTGAGCAGAATCTGTATGTCTACTGTCCTACTTCTGATTGAGCTAACTGAGGATAAAGATGTAAAGATGAAAAAAAATGGAGTTACATAAGGAAAGGCATGAGGCTCCTCATAAAGGAAGAGGCTGGTGCTAGAAGGCAGAAGGCAAGACATAGGAGAAAAGATCATCTAGAATTTTTACTTTCATGTTTCTCCCTGTTAGTGTTGTCATCGATGGATACCCCATAACTAAATCTCAAATGAGTCTCCTGGAAGCCAGGACCATCATTCCCATGGTCATCTTTGAGTTGGATGTGCCTTCCAAAGAGATTTTCAGAAGATTGTTCCTGGAAAAAAAAGGGCAGCAGAGGTAATGTTCATAACAATGATAAAGATATAAACTTTAATCATGGGGGGTGGGGAGAAATACATGTTTCTAACAGCATTTTCCATTTGTTCCTTGTTTCTGTATTAGTTTTCCTTATCCATTGCACAACAGTGCACAAATCACAGCTGTCAAGAATTCAAAGTACCGAAAAATTATTGGTGAGATTAAGCAATATTATCAAGAACAGCATCAGAACTGGTATGTGATAGATGGATTTCACAGCAAATGGTGGGTATGGAATGAAGTCATTAAGAACATCCAAATGGTGAATAAATATATCCAGACATACCTAGAAAGAATAAAATCAGGTTAGTAGGAAAAATAAAATACAAATTTAAAGTCTGTAAATGCTTGGTTTATTTTTCATTCAGTTTAAACATTTGTTCCCACAATCACTAGTATTTTAAATATATCCAAACACCAAACCAGTTGCTGTCAAATTAATTCAACTTATGGTGGCCCTATGTGGGTCACAGGATTTTCAATGGCTGATTTTTCAGAAGTAGATTACCAGACCTTCCTTCTGAGTCTTTCAGTAAACAGCCCATCGTGTTAACTATTTGCACCACCCAGGGACTCCATTTTAAATATATAGCACTAAATTTGGAGTCCTGGTGTGGCACTGTAGGATAAGCACTAGACTGCAAGGTAGGTTTGAATACAAGGTTGGCGGTCCAAACTCACCAATTATATATTTCCAGAAAGAAAAACATATTTCTGGAAATCCAATGTGTATATTGGATTAAGATTATGGATCTTGGCTGAAAGCAGAGGATATCAGAAAGATGTTCACTTGTGCTTTATTGACTACTCAAAGGCTTTCAATTGTGTGGATCATGACAAGCTATGGACAACATTGTGAAGTATGAGTATTCCGGAAAACTTAACTGTGCTCATGAAGAATCTGTACATGGACCAAGAGGCAGTTGTTCAAACAGAACGTGGGAACACTGAATGGTTTAAAATTAAGAAAGGTGTGGGACAAGGCTGTATTCTT